GTAATTAACCATAGGGGCTTGCCCCTATGGGATGTCTGTACCCCAGAAATAAATAAACCGCATTCGACCAAACATTGAGTGGGGGAATCTCTGTTAAATAATTGTAAATTTTATAGTTGAGTCCATAAGGAAATGATATTTTTACCCTTCGGGGTAATATGTCATATTCTTATGCAGTACTCGATTATAAAATATGCAATCCGTTCGAGGATACAAAAATTCTCCAACAATCTCTTGGAAGAATTGGACGATCTTGCAGTGGTCGACCATCGGTTTGCTATCCCTATGCACTTATCTTATTTAACCTACAATTCGATGCATGTGAGAAACCCGTTCTGACGGTTGTCTGAAGATAGCATTGTTTTTTATTTTCTTTGTTTCTTAAAAAGTCTATCCATTGTTCTCTTTGTGTCAGTTTTCTTGCACTTGTGCTTGCATCAACATGATATTACAGAGTGCATTGGTGTTATTAGCGATGATCATGATACCCATTTTGATTGATCTACTTAGAAACACATCAATGTATTTATAATTTGTGTATTTATTTTGAATGTTTAGACTTTTTTTTTTTTTGCCTACGTATTGACGAATAAAGCCTAATTGTTAATACTAATATTGGTTTGTTGTTAATAATTTATAAAAATCATCGTATACATGTAATAAATATAATATTATATATCATTATGTGATTAAATCAATTTATAATTTATTTTCATTTATTATTAAGCATTCTATGTAATAAATATAATATTATATATCATTATGTGATGCTTTTTTATTAGAAAATATTGACATTAGAAGTTTTAATTGCATATTTAATATTAATAATTTATAAAAATCATCGTATACATGTTGTGTCCATGGCGTGTCTGTGACGTTTATTTTTCATAGTTAATGACATGTAACCAAAGATTAACTCCTTGCTAGTACAAAAAGAAAAACAAATCCATTATAAATGAATACAACAAAATCTAACCATTATACAATTAAATGAGTTTAAAATATGAATACTCATCTTTTCATCGACATTCTTTAGAAGAGATTTACCCGTAAGCTGGTTTTATGCTCCAAGGGAAAAATGCAATAGAAAACATGAACTGAGAGGATGAGGGTGACAATTTGAGTATATCTTTCATCTGATACGAAACAGCTGTCCATACAAAGGATCTAAAACCCTGCATGATATCCAAATCTCATTATTAAGACAAACAATGCAATACCCAAGGGCAATGAAAGCTAAAACCATGCTAGGGTCTTCTAGAACAAGATAAAGGCTAAATTATGTCATATACGAGAGCATTTCATCTCCACTAAAACCTCCGGACGGAGAAAAAGGTTTAGTGGAAACCATACACATAGAACTGCATGAAGAGACATATTTAAGTAACCAAAAAACAATTCATTTACAAGATAATGCCAATTATAAAGAATATAATGGGCTTAAACATTCTAAAATATTGTTCAACAGCGCAAGAACATAAAAAGAACTGCTTTCAAGCCAAGTCCCACCTCCAACCTACCAACAATTGACAAAATAAAAACCAAAATAAATACTTTAAAAAAACTATTATTTTGAATCAAGTCACGATTCAAAACCCAGTTTTTGACCCATCAGATTCAACAAAAACCTGGTAGTGGGCAAACCTTTTTGCGCTTGACCAACCCTAAAAATAGCTATAATACTTTGCCATTGATGACTTCAAAGTTCGATGCTCAACTGATATCTACATAACTACCTATATTATAGGAAGTAAAAAATCCATGCATCTTTATGGGTGAAAAAGTGCAAACAACCCATCAAATTTCATGCAAAAAAAAATCATATTTCTCATAAGGATTGGATAGGCCCCATTGTTCTAAAACAATCCAATTAGGTCCCTTCTATCTGGATTCCATCAGCAAATTGTCATTAACTTCAGCAGATATCAGGTAATGGACTATTGTTTGAATATAGAGAGTGATGAAAGAGGGCGACCCATTGTAATTATAATGACATAATTAGTTAATCGAAAAAGAATAAAAACTTTTAGTTTTGTGCAACATTTTGAAATCAAGATAGAAAAGGCCAATTTGTTTGTTATTATAATTATGAGGGAACTAGTTAAATGTTTAAGAAATAATAATACCCCTGATTTATTAAAAATCCGAGTGACTTAAGCTTGGTTTGACCCATCATCATTTGCATACTCCTTCCACCCTTATAGCAACATCTCTAGTTTTGCCCCAATTTCAAAGTCCCACCACTATTGGAATTTTATGGTGTTTAACGAGTAGTATGCGTGAGTGTTTGTGTTGGGATAGGGCGGGGTGGGAGTAGGTGGTGATACATAGATGGTGGTGCATGATTTGGAAAAGATTGGTAGCGGTTTGAAAAAGGGGTAAGACTAGAGGTGATGTTGAAAGGACTATAATGGTGGAAAGTAACAAATTTAGGAATAGTTTCATAATTTAATTCAAATTTAGGCTCAAGCGTGATATTCTATTCAATCACAAATTCAAATTTAAACTTAAACAATTTCAGATTGTAAATCACTTTTGCAACTAATTCAACATTTAAGTTAACCAAGTCTCTTCAGTAATTGTATATTTACAATCTAAGACACTTGTCTTGATGTGTTTTGGACAAGCGATATATCATATATTGTTTTCTTTTCTTTAAAAACATTAATCAACTATGTAGTAGTCTAACAGGAGTATGCGTATAACATTTCTCAAGCCTTAAAACGTTATATAAATCATTATATACTATCTCTGGAGAATTGTAGCATAATTAATACTTAATTTGTTTCCTAAGACCTTTAAAATAAATATTAATAACATAGAAATCTACAAGTAAAATAATATTTGACTACTAGACATTTAATAATAATAAATTATGGAAAGAAACTAACGTCACCTTAAAATTCTTATAGGGATAAGTTGATCACTATATGTTATTGATGTGATACATGCAAGGAGTTTACAAGATATTAACAAGAGAATTTAATAAAAGTCATCCATCATAAAATTATGCGTCAAATCAAAGTAAGATGTTATAAATTCACAGTCTTCCACTTGCTTAGGCAAAGAAATGCATGAAGATTAACCAAGATGCTCTTAATCAAATACAAAGGCAAACGTAATATAATAGCTTATAACACAAATCCGAAATTTAATATTGAGATGTTCACCTTGAGGGTTTACTCTCTCTCTACAGTTTTAAGGCTAAGCGGATGAAGATCTTCCACACTAGACTTGAAATGACCACTAGGGAGAAAGAGCCGAGGAGCTTGGTTGTTGGGAAGGTATCCAGCGGTGGAGGCAAGGATCATCTGACGAGGAACCACGGGGTACTTGGTTGTTGAAGCTCGATAGTCTCGACGAGGCAATGAATGATGCGGTTGACGTAGCGTTTTACCGTGCTGTTGTATTCCCAATCCGGCTCGTAGAAGGGAGAGAGTAGGATGTCGATCTCTCCTTGTGTATTGTAAGCAAAGCCGTGGTCGATCTCAGGATCGGCCATACACTATCAGAGAGAAGGAAGGGGAAGATTGTCTTCTTCGTTGGCTTCCAAACATAAGGAGAATGGGGTCTTCAAGAGGGAACAAACCCGTTGGTGGGTGGCTTGGACAAGGCAAAATTAGAGATAATGTGAGTTGGATGAGAGGTGGAGAGAATATTTAGGAAAAAGAACAAATCTGATATTTTATTTCATATATTGAATTGGAGGGAGAGAGAATTAATGCGAATTCAAAAATCCCCAATTAGGGCTAGGGAGTCGGCAGTTTTAGGAGGGGATTAAGGGGGCATTAATTGGAATATGAATTGGATTGGAGAGAGAAATTATGAGGGAGAGGGGGTCGGCCATGTAGAGAGGGGGAGAGAGGGGGTGGGTTTGTGTTTAATATGTCGGCCCCAAGGTAGTTAATGTGATTTTAATCAAATCTGAATTTAATTTCAGATTTGATTTAAATAAGAAGAAACTTCCAAAGGGGATTTAACTCTCTTAGGAAGGGGTTTTGAAATTCAAAATAGATTGATTGCCAACAAGGATTCTTTCATAAATCGCATAGAGATGATTTAGGAAAGTAATCATGACAAAATTTGAAATTCAAAATTCAAATTTGGGGGACTAGGGATGATGAACCGGCAGGTTGAGCAAGTAGAGGGGGAGAGGGGAGGGTCGGCCAGCGGCTGGACTGGTGGCCGGCAGCTGAACTGGTGGCCGGCAGCAGTACTGTGGCCGACGGCTTGGGCGGCCAAGGGAAGGGCGGCGAGATGGGGTGAGGCTTGGGATTTTGGATGAAGGAAAGGAATTTGGTTAGGGGAAAGTCAGCGGGTGATTGGCTAGGGGAGGAAGTGTAGGTAAGGGAAGAAGAAAGGTCGGGGCCACGAACCTTGGAATCCTTCGACGGTTGACGGGTCTTGCTCTCACCTACCTAGGGTCTCTCCTCTCATTAACTCACTTAGAGATCAAACAAAGAAAATAAAATTTCATTCAATAATCATCATCCGATACAATAGAGGAGGCCACAATATATAGGCCTAAGGAAACAAAAAAATACAATGAAGCAAATGCCCCTGGAGCTACAACTCAAGACAACTCAAAAGAAAGGGTACAATCATAAATAACAATTAATACATAAACATCAAAATAAAAACTAAGCATCAAATTAAAGACTGTGGATCGTAGCCATCGATCTGCGCCTCCTGCGCAGACATACTGGTTGAAAACATCTGTCGATGTCCTCATCAGTTATTGTTCTTCAAACCCAAATAAATTTTGATTGCAATAACACAGACAAAATAATAACATGTCATTTTGTTTTAGCAAGTTCATTATTTTGATAACCAAACATACTTTACCTGACGCAAGAACTATCATATTCTTCTACTCTCAATTTTAGCTCGTTAACTAGATATAAAATTCTATTAGTAAAAATGTTGGTTTAAAACAAAGGTGCTTTGCTGGTCTTTGTGGTCCTTGGACATTATGTAGCCAATGGGAGCGGGCCAATGTATAAATAGCACAATTACAGCTGAATAAGGGATCTTTTGGTGAACAAGATTAATATAAGAATTTTGTGAATTCTTTGTTTTTGTATCATAAATTGTATTACATTCAGGTGGTGAGAGTTCCAGGTGAGTTGTGGCTGATCCATTGCAGTCTAGCAATTGACGGTATGTTGCTTTGTTTCTAGTTTTTTCTTCTTACCCGGGTCAATTGGTATCAGAGTTGGCAAGATGACGCCTCGCCTGAATCCTCAAAGACAAGTGCAAGAAGTTGTGATTGAGGAGTTATAGAGAGAAATTCAGCAGCTACCACAAAGATTGGCAAGATTTGAACAGCGGAAAGGAGGGGATCATCAAGAGGAGGAAGAAGATTTTAATCCCTTTCATCAAGATCTTTCGAGTAACGAGGATAGAGGGAGGTGATTCCTAGATCAAATCAGATGAGGATCACAAGATGATGGAGGAATCAAGATTAATCTACCAGATTCTGATGGAGATTAGATCCTAATGAATTTGTGAATTGGCTACATACTATCAAAAGAGTTCTTGAATTTAAGGAGGTGCATCCAGTTCAGATCGTTAAACTCCGTGACCATCAAATTAAAGAAGAGTCCTTCATTCATGTCATTGTGGTGAGAAAATTTGAAGTGTACAAGAAATAGAGAAGGCCTGAGCAAAATCATAAGCTAGGCTAAAATGAAGAAAGTTACAAAGGAAATAACTTCTGGATCAATCTTGCCAAGAGTTTCTCTTGAGATTGCATAGATTTCAGCAAAACTAGCTTACTTTGGAGGAGTATGTCACCGAATTCAAACAATTATCTCTTGAATGCGATTTAGTGGAACCCACTAAAAATATAATAGAAAGATTCTTGGGAGGGTTACAACCTGCTATTGCGAACGTGTTGCAATTACAACCCTTTTTGATGCTGCAGGATGTCAATAATTTAGAAGGGAAGGTAGAAAAATAATAGAAAATCAACAAACATTCACAAAGTAAAGGAGTAGCTCAAGGAGGCTTGAAGCGGACGACCGCCCAAACCAAGAATGTGGCAGGAGGAAATACAGCCATAACAAACTAGGTACATTCGAATTGGAACTAGGCCAATGCCCAAGAGTTCCAACCATAAAGTGTTTTAAGTGTCATAGATTTGGGTACATTGCATCTAATTGTTCAGATCATAGAGTTATCACCCTCTTAAAAGACTTGGAAAAAGGAACTGATGACACAATATGAGCTGAACACGTCAATATGGAGTTGATGACATAGGTCAATCCTACCTTTATAGCGGTGGATGATGGGCCAACCGTTGATTCTTAGAAGATTTTTTTAATACGCAGAAAGAAGTAGTATAGCGGCATAACATTTTTAGAACTAGGAGTATAGTGCAAGGCCGAGTGTATCAAGTCATCATTGATAGTGGAAGTTAAGAGAATAGCATATAGTACCTGGTAGAAAAGTTGAAGTTAACTATTAAGGTACATCCCAAGCATTACAAATTAACCTGGATACAAAAGGAGAATGAAGTTGATGTTTTCAAGTGTTGCCTAGTCAATTTTTCTATTGGAAAATTCAAAGAACAAGTCTAGTGTGACATGTTACCAATCATGTCATTTATCATTGCGACTATTGTGACAGTATGATCGGAAGACTATGCATGATAGGACAAATGACACATTCCATCAACCATGAGGGAGAGCAGATCGTGTTAGTTCCGTGAACAGCAATACATCAAGGAGTTAGCTCAGACTAGTAGATGTTAACTAGTACAAAATGTCGGCAAGCCTTACAAGAAACTACAACTAGTTATTTGTAGCTAAATGAGGCCAATGTAAATGTTGTCAACAACCATCCAGACATACAATGTCTTCAACTTGAGTAAATGAGACCAATCATGATGTTTTCACTGAAGAAATTCCAGGTGAACTACCGCCCCCAAAGAAAATTCAGTATTTTGTTGAGTTAGTACCCAACGCTACATTACACAACCGACCCCCAAATAGATTGCAACTAGATGAACATGAGAAGTGAGGATTTGATAAAAAAAAGGATTCATTCAACCGAACATCAGCCCATGTGTCGTTCCCACACTTTTAGTCCCAAGAAAAGACCTATCGTATATAATGTGTATCGATAGGAGGGCAATTAACAAACTTACTATGCATTATCGCTTGTCAATGCCTTGCATTGATGACCATTTCAATCAACTTCATGGGGCTACTCTTTTCTCTAAAATAGACTTAAGGATTTGTTATAATCAGATTCAGGTGAGAGAACGAGACAAATAAAAAACAAACTTCAAAGTGCGAGACAGATAGTATGAATGGATGGTGATGTTGCTTGGATTGGCCAATGCACCAAGTACCTTTATGTGACTTATGAATCAGATTTTCCAACCTTTATTATTTAAATTCATAGTTGCATACTTTGATGACATTCTGGTCTATGACTTCAGTGATCACTTACAACATTTGTGCAAGGAGTTGGAAGTGTTATGGGAACAAAGCTTATTCCGCTATCCATATAAATGATGATTTTTGGAACACGGAATTAATTTCCTGGAATTTTTGGTGTTTGTTGTAGGTATTGAAGCGGATCCACCTAAAGTATAAGCCATTATGAGTTTGCCAAGGCCTCAATGATTTACAGAAGTGTGGAAATTTCATGGACTAGCGTCAGTCACTTGTAGATTTATTCAAAATTTCAGCACAATTATAGATCTTTTCTATTGTCAGTAGAGATGTACTTTTCTATTACAGGTAATAAATTCCAAAAATAGTAGGATTTGAAGTATTAAAAGAACTATACTCTACTGATGATGATTTCAAACTTATTTGGAATAAATGTCAAAGAGGCCAACACCAATGGTTTCAGGAAAAAAAGGTTATTTGTTCCTTGGCAATCGTATTTGCATTCCTAAATGTTTGGTCAGGTTGGCTATAATTTCATAATGCCATGATGGAGGGAAGGCTAGCCATTTCAGCCACAATAAAACATTGGCGTTTATTAGGTAAAAATTCTATTGGCCCGTGTTGCATCAAGATGTGGACAAATATATTAAAAGGTGTTGCATATGCAAGACAGCAAAGACTCAAGGAAATAATGCGGGATTGTATTTACCATTGCTAGTGCCTAACTGGCGTTGGGAAGAGTCAGCCTAGATTTTGTGTTGGCGTTGCCACAGACGCCATGGAATGAAGACTCAATCATGGTTGTAGTGGACCAATTTTCTAAGATATCGCATTTTGTGGCCTGCAACAAAACTCTTGATGCCATATATATTGGAGACCTATATTTACAGGGCATGGTTCGTTTCAATGGTTTTCCGAGGACGATCACTTCAGATCGTGATGTCAAATTTGCAAACGAACGGGCAAACCAAGACTGTCAATCAAAGTTAGGGAAATTTATTTCGTTGCTTTGTGGAGAAGAACATTTGACAGTGGGAAATAAATTTGGCTCATGTTAAGTTTGCATTCAATCAGTCAACCAATCAAACTACTCGTTGTATCCCTTTGAAATCATTTATGGAAGCAATCCACTAACCCTCTCGACTTAGTACCATTACTGAATTCAATTACAATGCTGATGGAGAACATCGCTAACTTAGAAATTCAAAAGCTGCATCAGCAATGCAAGCATAATTCATCAAGCAAAATGTCAAGTACCAAGCGCAAACCAATAAATGCCAAAAGATGGTTTTATTCAAGGAAGGAGACCTTGATTGGATTCGGTTAAGGAGAGATTCCTTACAGGTTTGTTCGGAATTCTCAAACCAAGAACTGACAAACCCTTCCGGTTGTTAGGAAAATCAATGATAATGCATATCAAATTGACTTACCATGTGATTATGATGTATCTGTAGTTTTTAATGTAGAGGACTTGACGCCCCATTATGATCATAAGGTTTTCCCCCACCCCAGCCGATTGATGCAGGAGCTATCATATTCTTCTACTCTCTGTTTCAACTAGTTAACTAGATATAAAACTCTGTTAGTTAAAATATTAGCTTAAAAAAAATTGCTTTACTGGTCTATGGTCCTACGAAGTTATGTAGTTATCTGTAGCAGGAACAATGTATAAATAGCTCAATTACAGCTAAATGAGATGGATTTTGGTTAACAAGATTAAAAATATATGAATACTATGAGTTCTCTGTTTATGTATCCTGATTGTATTACATTCAGGCGGTAAGAGAGAGTTTCAGGTAGGTTGTGGCAATCCCATTGCACTCTAGAAATTGATGGGTTGTTGCTTTGTTTCATGTTTTTGCTTCTTACCTGGGTTAGTATCTTTCAAAGAAATCCACTAGATTATCTTATCCCACCTGAAAATACCATAGGATGCCTCACATTAAATATAGGAATATAGTTCTTAACCTCATAAAAGTCATACTGATAATGTCTAGAGTAATAATAAAGCATATTTTATTTAAATAATGTCATTTTATTGTTTTTCTAATTGGACCAATTATTCTCTCCATGTCCAGAAGAAATTGTGATGCAATATTAAACTCTCATATCAATTTTGATCTAAGATGTCTTAGGATCTATTTCGAATTTAGATTTATTACTAAGATGTAGAAACCCATGCAACAAGCACACAAATTTTAGCCCTAAAAAACGCTCAATTTAAATAATTATTAATTGATTTCAATGAAAACAAGAAATATGAAAGAGATTAATTTAGTTGGAAATCTAACCATCCTCTACTAAAAGTAACAAATGGAATTTCAAACCAAGAAATTCATTAAACTAGCTGAAAATCACATCGTTGAAGCTCATATTGTATCAAATTTGAATAAAATCAATCATTCATTCATCCAATAACAAGATTTTGAGAAATGAATAGAGGTGGAAGGAAAGAGATCATCAGAATCGTAGAATCAAGCCTCGCACTTGTACAAAGAAATTACCTCTCCCACACATCTGTAAGTTCTCTAATTAACCAAGTTGTTGATTCCCACAAGTAGAACAAATAGCACATCCAACTTGAAACTATTTCGGAATACAATTGAGTGTCCAATTATAAGTCTAGGACCACTATTTATATATATTAAAAGCACTTTCAAACCCTAGCTATCAATCAAAGCAGCACCAAAAATCGCATACATTAATTACCAAAAAGCAGCGACTCCTCCAGAAGAGGAAGTCGAAGGCCACAAGTCGCCATCAGCAATATATGCCCTTCAAATTATCAAACATCCCGATCTAGAAAGACTTCAAATCTCACAAAAAGGCACCATAACCTATCGGAAACTCTATTTCAATAATTAAAACAAAATAAAATAAAAGTAATCCCTTTTGGAAACCAATGCTCAACAATCCTAGCAAAATATTGGCAGCATCTCCTCAAAAAAAAGATGAGACAACCGGCTGCAAACTCTATTATTTAATCAATAATAAATTGACACATCAAGAATATAACAGCAATCCTGATCTCAAAGAAGCTTTACATACAAGACACAACCCTACTAACACTGAGAGGAATGATAAAACATTATTGGGACAAGGACATGGACGAGAGAAACTAACGAGGGATCATCCAAGAAAGAAGAAGACCTGAGTAAAATAGATAAGTGATACGATCCAGAGGAAAGATGCCCCGAAAGACCCGCCCATTCGCCTCATCCATCGGATCGCCATCTTGCTTCCTCTACGCTGGCGTTAACCACTCGCTGTAAGGGGCTGCTTGGCAACAGGATTTAAAATCCTGCAAGATTTAGGCAGCCGGTAGATCTCACGGCCAAATAAATCCTCCGTTTCCCTCTTTTTTCCGTAAATCCGGATTTACTAAATGCTGGAGTTCAGCTGATATACGGGATTTGGCAGAAGAAGCAAGCTAAAGGGAGAACGATAGTTACTTTCCAGCGAGCGAGCTCCCGTCGCTACGTCCGATCCAACGGGAAGAACGGCGAATTTTCGCGACTTCCAATTCGAGAGGAAGGAACGCCGTCGTCGAATAAGATTTTTGCCTCGTTTTAGGCGTTTTTTTTTTTTCCCTTTTCTCTAAAAAAAAAATTATTTTTTTATGGCTGCGTAGAAGAAAAATTTTCTATAGAAATGCTAGGAACTTCATTTTTTTTATCTAGAAGTTTTTTCATATTTGCTTCTCCATATAAAAATTTCATTCTCTTAATTATTATTTATAAAATCATTTTTTATAAAATAACAAAAAGAACCAAACCAAGTCTTTAATGACTCGTTCAAAACTCTACCTCATGCAAAGCTCGCAGTCAGAACAGTAGAAAGGAGCAAATTGTTAGAATTGATTAGGAATCAATTTAAGTAATTTAATTAATATAAATTAAAATTTAAAAAATAATAAGATAATTAATAATTAAATAATAACTTATATAATCAATATTATAATTAATAATTAGATAACTATTCAATATAATAATAGTATAATTAGATAACTATTCAAAATAAAAGTGGTTGTTGCTTTCTGAAATATTTGCAGTGGTTCAAAGATAAAATTTATTATCTTAATTTTGTACAAAGATCCAACACACAAATATATAAATGATAGAGGTGAGACGTTCATAAGAGACTACATGGTTTTTATATGAAACCCCTAAAAAAGAGGAAAAAACAACGGAGCATTGCCTAATAAAAAAGAATCTACTAGCATTTGTGGTTGATTACAATCAATGCTTCTCCTCAAAGGAGGGCATTTGCTCAAATAAATTTACATTCTACAGAGCACATTACATAATGAGATAATGACATGATAGTTGTTCTCAAGAGAATGTTGTCCTGCTCCTTTGGTTGGTAAGGTTGTAGTAAGATGATGATAGTCAGAAATGATCATAGTCATACAATGATGGTTGGAAGGATTTAGTTAGGAGAAGGTGGTCTGAAGGGCCATAATCAGTGGATGAAGTAGGTCGGATGGATCATAGTTGGCTGGTGACAGTGGTTGGAATGACCATTGTCTAGAAAAAATGGTCTGAGTGACTATAGTTGAAGGGCGACGAAGGTAAGAGGGACCCTAGTCGAGGGGCAACGATGGTTAGAGGGGCAACATAAATGGCGGATGATAGAGGTTAGCAAGACCATAGTCGGGCTATCGTAGTCAGAAGGACCATAATTGGTGGGTAATTGTTATCGGACCGACTGCAATCAGTGGGTGATAGTAGTCGGAAGGATGGTCCGACCGTAATCGGTGGACAGGTTAAAATCCCTCGATAATAAGTAGTTGTCCAGTGGTCTGGTAGCAATTGGTGACCAGACGGTGGTTAACAAAAGTTTGCCCGCAAAGGTAGAGTTAGATGGAGGGTGCAATAAAGCTCTCAAGCTTTCTCCCTTCTCACAAGAAAGAATGATGAATTTTCACGACTTCCAATTCGAGAGGAAGGAACGCTGTCGGTGAAGAAGATTTTTGCCTCGTTTAAGGCAGTTTTTTTTCCTTTTCTCTAAAAAAATTATTTTTTTATGGTTGTTTAGAGTAAAAATTTCTATAGAAATGCTAGGAACTTCATTTTTTTATTGAGAAGGCTTTCATATTTACTTCTCCGTATAAAAATTTCATTCTCTTAATTATTGTTTATAAAATCATTTTTTATAAAATAAGAAAAAGAACCAAATGAAGTCTCTAATGACTCGTTCAAAACTCTACCTTACGCAAAGCTTGTAGTCATAATAGTAGAAAGGAGCAAATTGTTAGTAATTATTTAGGAATTAATTTAATTAATTTAAATAATATAAATTAAAATTTAAAAATAATAGGATAATTAATAATTAAATAATAACTTATATAATTAATATTATAATTAATAATTAGATAACTATTCAATATAATAATATTATAATTAGATAATTATTCAAAATAATAGTAGTAGTTGTTGCTTTTTGAAATATTTTGCAGTGGTTCAGAGATTAAATTTATTATCTTAATTTTGTACAAAGATCCAACACATATATATAAATGATAGAGCTGAGACGTTCATAAGAGACTACATGGTTTTATATGGAAACCCTTGAAAAGAGGAAAAAACAACGGAGCATTGCCCAATCAAAATAAATCTACTAGTATTTGTGGTTGATTACAAGCAATGCTTCTTCTCAAAGGAGGGCATTTGCTCAAATAAATTTACATTCTGGAGAGCACATTGCATAATGAGATAATGACATGATAGTTGTTCTCAAGAGAATGTTGTCCTGCTCCTTTGGTTGGTAAGGTTGTAGTAAGATGATGATAGTTAGAAATGATCCTAGTCATACGATGATGGTTGGAAGGATTTAGTTAGGAGAAGGTGGTTCGAGGGGCCATAATCAGCAGGCGAAGTAGGTCAGAGGGACCATAGTTGGCGGGTGACAGTGGTTGGAAGGACCATTATCTAGAAAAAATGGTCCAAGGGACTGTAATTGAAGGGCGATGAAGGTAGGAGGGACCCTAATCAGGGGGTAATGATGGTTAGAGGGGCAACATAATTGGTGGGTAATTCTTATCGGACCGACTGTAATCGGCGAGTGATAGTGGTTGGAAGGATGATCTAGCGGTAATCAGTGGACAGGTGAAAATCCCTTGATAATAAGTAGTTGTCCGGTGATCTGATAGTAATTGGTGACCAGATAGTGGTTAACTAATGTTTGCCGGCAAAGGTAGAGTTAGATGGAGGGCGCAATAAAGCTCTCAACCTTTCTTCCTTCTCACTAGGCTAGTAAATATGGAGAACATCAAGGGCATGTTGGAATTGTTCCATGAAATGACTCATAGCGATCTCGTTGATAATGAAGTATTTATCAAGCATTTAGATGCACTAGAGATATTAGAATTGAGTGATCATTGGTTTATTGGATTTGTCTCTTCAAGCCACTTAATTCGACTATAAGTGTGTCATATTTAGATATCATTTGGTAGTCCAACTAATATTCTGAAGCTTCCAAATAAACTTTTGAATTGGATGTCATTGGGTTAGTCTTTTTGAGATGTTCAATTAGCCTATAAGCTTATTGAAATTGGAGGTGCTGATTTCAATTTTTGAAGACTTAATCTCATGTTTACATCGAGGTTCATGCCAGATCAAGGCAATTTTTAATGACGTATCAGTTACCCCACTATTTTCAAAAATCGAAGCTTTTAAAGTCTAAAATATATATATTATACATTTCTTAGCTGCTTATGATTGATAATTATAATTATGAAGCTTGACCTTCTCGTGGGCATTGACCAGCATAAGTAGTTTAAAAATTAACAAAAACTAGTCATAATTAATTTGTCCGAAAATACAAATTATTGGTAAATCAGATAAATATTTTTTTTTAAGAAATGTAAATTGCATTAAAAGCAAGAAAAGAAACCCCTAATACAAACTAGAAAGAAAATAAAACTAAGAGTTCCTAATCCAAAAAGGAAAGGAACGTTATTGAAGAGCATATTTGTTAAAATAAAACTATCATAATTGAAATGAGACCCACTACTTCTTGTTTTAAAATCCTTGAGGTGGAGGGGATATCAAATATTAAACAACCTAAAAGTTTGTTAGCATCCCAGAATTCTAAACCGGTTAAAAAATAAAAACTAGTATCGATCCCATAAATAATTACTATAGTTTTATAAAACAAATATAAAATATAAACAAAAAAATACACAAATAAACTAGAAAGTAAATAAAAAGATCATTAGACATCCAAGAAACACCTAAGAAAGCTTCAAATAAGCATCTTTGAAATAAACGAATGCCATCCGTTAAATCTGTAGGAAAAAGCTTCTCATCCACTGAAATAGAGATTATTGCGGATCAATGGTTTATGATTTTGATGATAGCAAACATTTTTATTTCTCTATGACTGCCTTATGTACTGACATTTCAGGTTCACACGATCGGACTGTAATTTGAAACCAGCACAAGATTGGGTTGACTAGGTCTGAGTTAGTTTGTACACTTTTTCCTTTCTTGAGTCTATTGTATTTGTTGTGGCTCTTAATGCTTTGTAACGTATAAGAGTTTCTGACTGTTTCTTAGAGTTTACTGTTTTTGGTAACATTGTCCTGGACGATATTTATATCGGTCGGGATGATCTGTTCAAAAGCAGAAATCCTAATTAGGGCATCCTCATTAAAGCAGCCTTCATTATACAAAACACATCGTCCTTGACGATGTTGTATCGGCCAGGATGATATGCTCAATTCAGAAAGAATTTGTCGCTAGATCTACTTAGGAAATTCTTATTTTTTGATATCGGCCTGGTGGATCGGCTTGGACTATAAAATATCGATCAGGACGATTTAGGAAAATTTTTCTAAAATTTTTTTGGAAATTTTGGAAAGCAAGTAATGGTGATTTCGTCCGGGACGATTATACATCGTCCATCTTCATTTCAGGGCGATATTCAGGATGATTTTCCTCATATTTGAACTAATCGGCCAGGACGATATGTCTATCGTCCTGGATGATAAAATCGGCAACTTGCATTAATGAGATCGTTTTGAGATCTTCTATTTAAGCTATGACATGATACTTTGTAAGTGTCTTTGGAAGCCATTGTAGCTTCGTTCTTGTGGGGGAAACTTGAAGAGAGAGCTTGAAAGGGAGTAAGGAAATGGTGGAGTTTGTAGAGGGAGAAGATCCTTTGAGAGGGGACTCAAGGGAGTGTGGAGGGGGATCCACACGGTTGCTCCGGCAAGCTCGCACCTGAATACCATCGGATTCAAGGCTTGTCTCGAGAGAAGTTCACCAAAGAAGAATATCTCTTTGGTGTCAAAGAACCCGGCGACTCCGCCACTCCGGGGAAGGTGGAAGTGATTTTGTAAGGGCTTCACCGCCTAGCTGTGGGGGCTAAAGGAGAGACACTTGTTTTAGTGCAATACTTGGACGGTGCCTCCATGGAGTGGACGTAGGTCAAGATTTGACCGAACCTCTATAAATCCGGTGTGTTCTTTCTTATTATTTGCTTCCACATTTATTTTCGGCATTTGGTTTTCTTTGTGGTGATTTTGGTTTGAGTTTTATCTTTGGTTTTAAAGTTATCCAATTCACCTCTTTCTTTTTTAGCCT